AGCTGGACTCAATTTAGTTTATTTTATTATGAGAAGTTCATAGACCAAACCAAAGAGGTAAACTGCCTTTAATTTACCAAATTATAGTGAAATGCAGCCTGAAAATATAATAATACAAATCACATTTTATAGTCCAGGAAAGTCTCATCTAATGTTACAGAGAACTGACGCGACTTCATTTGCATGAAGTTATAAAAGATACCGAGACCTGCAGATGTATCCTGGACAGGAAGAGAGGGAGGACGAGATGTGATGCTTCATTAACTGAGTGTGAAGATTTATTTGCAAATTTACAACCGACGTTTTAAACCAGTGTCACCTTTCCTTTTGAGTTTTCAAGCAGAATTGTGTAATGATAGTCTCCAGTCTACAAATATGGAAAAACAGGCATTTTCAGAGCATTTCTTTAGAGTAAAACAGTTAAATGTGGTTACATGTTAATTATGTTCTCATATCTTCACCTTACTAAAATGCAACAATTTCAGGTTAGTCATTCTGAATTTATGTTAGTGGCTACTTTGAATGTGTATTCTTGCTTACTAAAAAAGTAAAACAAATGTTGTATAGCCAATGCTTTTATTGATATATGAAAAATAGCAGTTTCTTTGAATATCTGCAAATAAACACATGACTTAAACATTTTACTTTACTCTGATTTTTAACATGTATCATATCAAATTATATCAAATTTGTGTGTATAGCACATTTAAAGACCAAAGTACACCAAAGTGCTTTCCAGTAATACCATAACACAAATAAAATCACAATATAAAAAATATAAATTACAGATATAAAATAATTACATAATGCAAATGCAGAGCCGGGTGAAAATCACTCTAATTAGCCTCAGATGCTAGGTTAAACAAGATTTAAAAGATTGAATAGACTCAGATGCGCAAATGTCAAGAGGAAGATTATTCCATAATTTGGGTGCAACAACAGCAAAGGCACGGTCTCCTCTAGTCTTCAGCTGAGATTTAGGTTGCACTAAGAGCAATTGACCCAGTGATCTTCATGCTCTCTTAGGGCTATACTGACAGAGGAGATCAGCTAAGTAATTTGGCGTCCTATTATTTCAAATTTTATAAGTAAACAACAAGATCTTAAAATCAAATCGATATTTAATAGGAAGCCAGTGTAAGTTGGCTAGAACGGGGCTAGAACTTCAACATGTCTTGAAGTTCTCCAGGGCTGGTAATGAACTAATCATTTGATTCAGGTGTGTTGACCC